ACAATTTTCCGAACCAATTAATCTTCTTCTCCAGGGGTTACCTGTAATATAATATTTTATTCAAAATAACAATCTTGTTTTTCTTTTTATTTTTCATTCGGATGGAGATTCTTTAAAGAATAATATTTCAATTGTAATTTGTTAAAAATAAGTGCAAAGTTTATAGGTGATTTTACAATAGAATTATTCACGTTTAAAGATGTTTGAAGCTAATTTATTTTTGTTTATATCTCATCAAACTATAATAAGTATATCTCGTAAAACTATAAATCTAATTTATAAGCTTTAAGAAGACTAGAAGAATCGACTAGATTAATCGATTTTTTTAAAAATCGTTTTACTAAGCGTTAATTGGTAAGAAATGACGATAAAGTACCCAAAAGTTTTACGAGATTGTTTGAGGATCGCGAATTGTACCGCAGTTCTCTCTCGCTTTCTCTTTCTCTCACACAGAGCATTCTCTAGAAAAGAAAAACAACTAAAACATCAAGCGGACCTGTTTACGAACTAATTGCATCTCGTTAGTGCTTAGTTTTCCAACGTGAAACAAGTTGATCCAACATTGGCATTGCGCGTACCAATCCCTTTAACCTTTCTTCACTCCCTCTCACCCTCAAATCATCTGTCTCTTTCTGTGTGTGTGGGAGTACTTCCTTTTATATTACTTCGAGTTAATTAAAATTTAATATGTATTACATTAATAATTTATGATGATTTTTATACAATCATTTATTTTTGCCATTAATTTTCTTTTTCTTTTTGCTACTCACTTTAATTATACTACGACTAGGTAATTCATGAGTATTATATTTTCCACGAATTAACACGCGAAATTGGCATACTTTCGTCAAGGATTTTTCCTTTTTTTTTTTTTTAGCGTATTTCTCTGAAAAAGTTCACGTACGTTAATCTTCTACCAGTCGTAAAGTTCATAGAGAATTATTTTGAAACGTTTTAAAAAGAATTAAGAAATAAAAAGGAAAAAAATAATAAAATAGGGAAAAATAATTTTGTCGCGTCAATTATTTACGCTCCTTTGATTTTTCGTTGCACAACAAGTATTACGGGTGATATTTCGTTTTGTAATCGGATTAAAATATGGGAAAGCTATGTGGTACATATGTACCATGGTGTATATAATACGTGTATAGTACATACGTGTTATACACGCGTAAATATTTTACTCCTGTCAATTTGGAAGTTTTACAAAAATCAATCATTTTTGTTTCTTGTTTTTTTTTCTTTCTCTAACACACTCTGCGTTCTCTTCAATTATTTCAACCAATTTTTTTGAAACCTTTCAAACCTATCGAGAATAGAATCCTTTATTATTTTCTAATCTATAGAAAAGTTTAAAGACAAAAAAGAAGGGAACCTATTTTCTTAAATAATATTTATGAACACTGATTTACGATAATTGTAAAAGTGAGATGGGCAAAAATTATCTATGAGAAGGTAAAAGTAAAGAAAGATAATGGAACAAATTTATGCGGTTTTTCTTAACGAGTATTAACGATCAACTATTAATGTCTCTCTTAGAAAAAATATTACTCGCAAATTAATTTCTAGAGAGGATTACGTAAATAAAAAAAATAAAAAAACATAAGAAACTAAATACTTGAAGAAAATTCAATAATTAGCATCCTCTTACCAAATGAGTAAAATGAAACAAAATGAAAGGCTAAACAATTGTTTTATAAATAATAGAACGCGAAAAAGGAAAAAAAAGAATAAGAGGGAGATTAAAAAAAAAAGGGTAGAATGAAAAGGAGCAGAAGAAAAAAGGGCAAATCGATATTTTGTTGAAGTCCTCTGACCCTCTGCTGCTGGTGGTGGTAGTGGTGATGGTGGTTTTTTCTCTTTAAGACCTCTACTTCTTGGCATCAATGCGAACTACTCAAGGGAACCAGCACACACGGTCCGACAATTTAATGACGCGAAAATGCTACAACAACGAGCCATCACGCAAAATCGTCCACTTTTTTTCCTCCTACTCTCTACGAAACAATTTCTAAAACAATGGCCACCCCTTTTGTCTGAAATACCCTTTAAAAGAGGAAAAGAAAGAAAGAACAAGTGTTTCAAAGTAACCCAAATTTGTTCACCTTCAAATGAATTCAATTTTAATACTGACTGTAAATGAAAAAATAATTCATTAATTTTTATATACACATTTCTATTTCATTTTATATATTTAAAAGTAGTATAAATAATTATTCGAATAATATACTACCTACGTATAAACGTTTACTAGATAAAGGTCTCTCCATCTATCTATTTTCCTTGAACAATAGAACCAAAGTAATTTATTTCTACGTTGGTTTCCACTTAACGAAACTGCTAGAGTAGTTTCGTATGCTCGTATCGACGATTATTCCACGATTATTTGTCGATTATTCCTCGATTATTCGTCGATTATTCGTCGATTATTCGTCGATTTAGTCAAATACTACATTAATTACAACGAGTGATTTTCTATTTTTCAATCGAAATGAAATGTTTTTGTATAAAACAACAAAATTTCTTCTCTTCATTCCTTTTTGTTGTTCACTCGTATTTTCTTGCGAAAAAATAATATTGCATTAACGAATAAAATATTTATTATGCAATATAAATTCGACCAAGGGTTTACCTTCAATTTATCTTGTAATTTGTCAGAAAACACAGCTAAAACACCATTTCTAATTTATACAATATTTAAGAAGGGTTCTGTGAGCAATTGCGTATAATTGCAGGATTAAATTCACAAAGATTTAGGAAGAACACGGTGTCTCTTAACTTATACACTATACACTTTACACGCGTCACACGTTGTGTAAAGAGAAGTGAAGTTGTTGTACACCTCGAGGATACCTTTCTGAATAATTGACATTCGTGAAACGAATTTCTCTTTCTCTTCCTCTCTCTTTGTGGTCTCTTTGTGGTCTCTTGTTGTACTATAAATAACTGGAAACTCTAAAATTTCTAGTTCTATTAGAATTCTATTCACAATACACCTAATTAATTCGTAATATTCTAATAACAAGCTAATGATTAATAATTTAATTTCATTATAAAATGTTCTCTTCTATTTTACTCTATAAATATTTGAACGGGTCCAATTTCTAATTTCATTAGAATTCAACGTGCCTCATTGGAATTGGTGATTATAATTAAAATGATACGTATATTCATTAAAATTTAATTAACTCGAATATTATTGTTATTATTTTACTAATAATTTCACTAACAAGAATTTATTTTCTTATCGATCGTTCCCGTACAATCGATTTCATTTATTTTTATTCTTTTTCATTTTTTTTATCTTCTTCTTCTTCTTCTTCTTCTTCTTCTACCAAAAATCGTATCGGAGAATATTTTTTAGTACGAATACGAGAAAGTTGCAGTAATTTCTACGTGGAAAATATCGAGGAAAATGTCGTGGAAATTTTGATGATCCTACAGGTGGTTGCAACGAAATTCATTTCAAGATTTTACACTATCACGAAAAGGTACAAATGTTTGTTGAATTTTGTCATCAATCGTTAGGAGAATATGATTTTAAATATTACAGAATAAAAGCAGAAAGATAAACTCTTATCAAGGAAATTATGTCTTACTGATTGTAATTAAAGTATCATTATAGAGAAAATGTTGAAGCAATTTGACGAATGAGAAAAGTTTTCGTGCTATCGTACAAAACCAGAATGAAATTTTGTTAGATTTCTCCCCTTTTGCGAATGACGATGAACTTTATCTCCCTATCTATCTATCTCTACGAGTTATGATTACCCCTAGGTGATTACTATGCGGATAACGTCGGACTCCGAACTACGCTCGAATTCACGCCGAGAATTCATATTACTGTAATCAACAAACTCTCCACAGTCGGGAACAATACATTGGTGACATCTTTCAATCTGAAATCACGAAATAGTTCACATTGTTAATATACCTAAATAAACGTTCTATCCAAAAGTATTATCGAAACGATATCCTACAATATATATATATAAAATATAAATTCATGTCTATTAACTATCATATACCATTTTCTATCAAATGACATACTATAATAAAAGATTAACATTTGATTAGAAATCATTTACTCATAGGTAATCGTAGTAAAAGCTATTACACTAATAGAGTATTTTAGTAGATTTTTTCTAACTAGATAAAAGGTAGCAATCCCATTTGTATCTAGCTGCAATTTTACTAAAGTTTTTCTCCTAATGTCGAGTAGAACGTGAATAGCAGAAAACGCGAATAATAGAAAAATTAATAGAAAACTTTTCAATTCTTCCTTACGTAGGGGTCCTTATCTATGGGGGTGACACCTACGACTCACATAAAATATAATCTATACATATATATATTTTTTTATTTTATTTTTTCCTTCCTCTTTTGAAATTTCGTTCTTTTTTCCATTTCTTTTTTCCATTTCTTTTTTCCACCTTCTTTCTTCTTTCTTTCTTTCACCACTTTACTAATCCTCGGCATTAAACTTTCCCCTCATCTTAGGGAGTTCTACGATCCAGACACAGGCTCATAAAGAACTAATCCGGTATTAAAGCTTTCTTAGTAGTCGTCTTGTTCATCGATCCTTCTCCTTAAAAACGAAAAAACTGTAATCCTAGCAGTCGGGTTTCGTGCTCATTTTTCATGCAACTATTCATCACTTACTACGAGGAAACAAAGAAACGGAGAGAAAGAAATGCACGTTTTGTTGAAGAGAAACTTTTTTTAAGATAAGATAACATAATCGAAAAGTATTGTAACTCGAGATTTTAAAAAGATTCTTCTCTACCTTTGAAAACTTTGATCCAAGGTTTGTTACATTCCCGACATTTAACTAATAAAACAACTAGAAATTTATTAAAAAGGTTTAACTTGAGAACAGTCATTAAAGAAATTGAGTTGGAGTTTTACAGAAAACTTTCAAGACCTTCTGGTTATTTTTATCACGACAAACTATTATTATTATTATTGTACACATTTGTAAGAGAAATAATTGGTTGCAGCTTTTAAGCTCAATCGTGGTGGTTGGTGGAACAAACGTTGCTGGTGCCCTGACACATCATCCTAGAGAATTAGCTCAACGTCAAGCATTCCTTGAAACTAGACAATGCGTCGAGGCACGATTAACAACTCAACGAGAAAATCAGCAACAGGTATATAATTATTTTATTAGAAATAAATTCATTCCAATTGATTTATAGAATTATTTAACAATTAAGTAAAATAAGATTGATCAAAAGTTGTTAGGTGATTTTAAAAAATAATTCTCCTTTCTTTATCAAACTAATTTCTTTTTCTGTCTCAAATACTTAAAATTATAAGCTTAGAAACTTTTGACTCATCTTGTATGTATAAAAAGGGTCTTCTTATCTTACGAAATTACAGTTAATCTTATGCAATTATACGCCAATTGAACATTCAATTCTTCATGCCAATTCAATCGTTGAAAATGTGAAAATTGTATAACATTAATGATGCTGCTGCTCTGCTGATTTTTTTTTTTCTTTTTTTTTGAATAAAACAACAATGAAATAAATCTAATAAATGAATTGACAAATTTGCAAAAATTTGGGATCTTACATTTCTACATGATTGAATGATAAATATGTATAAAAGTAATCATCGTTATTGAGAGGGAGGGATATACGTTTTGTATTCTTTTAATAAAATATTGTATCGTGATTTGAAAACGTTTTCTATGTTCGATGAATTTGGTTAAAAACGATCAAAAACTGTCAATAACATTCGTACAACCAATACGTGAATGATCAAAGGCAAATATAGTTGTGCGACGAATGAAAATCGAATGCAATTAAAATGATTTACAAGTTTCTTTGAATAATCCATTTTTGATTATTATATAAGTAATTATGATCATATTCATAATTTATCGTTGGAATGAAAAACAAGTTAAGAGAAAGGAGTTGTAAAAATAAAAGAAGCTTAATAGCTGAGCCAAGTGAAGCAGAGGAAATATGTTAAAGTGAAAATGTGTTTCCGTCAATCATCACAAACGGCCATTCTCTGACATATTTACCTTTGCGATGAATCGTTCCTCAACGTTGGAAAACGTTCTTCCTTATCTTCTCTTTTACCTTCTCTTCTTTCTATGAACATTTGTTCCTGTCATGTAATGTAAATAAACCTACACATACACATACACGTATATATATAGCACATTTTTCTTCTGTCATAAAAAAAAAAATAGTGGTCAGATATGCATCTTGAATTTTTTGAAAAAACCACAACCACGTTCACGAGTTTTTCGAGGAGAAAAGAAAAAGAAAAAAATATATAATAGCGAATAAATAAAAATATAAAAAGAAGAAAATCAAGATCGGTTTTTTGGGAAAAGAAAATCTTAGAGTTAACCATAGCAGAGACTCGATTTTATCGGCTTTCATTCGAGATTGGGACGGGATTTGGAAGCTTTCAACGGTGAATTGGTAGGAAGGCAATATTTGGTGGAATATCAAATGTTTAGTGGTTGCCTTTTGCACGAGAAATACACCGCAAGAAAGTTGGAAATATTTCGCTTGAAAAGAGGACAGAATTTTATTCCAATATTGGTTTCAACGATTCTACGTTAACACATGTTATAGGATTAATAATTTATATCATTAATCGTACAATTTCAACGAACAAAATTATGAAATTAAAAGAAAATACATTTGAACGAACAAACAACAATAACACATTGTTATTAATAATATTTAAAGCTAAAAAAAAAAATATTCCGGTCATTGAAATTAATATTAAAATCATATACGACAAAAATATGTAATTAATGTATAATATAATACATATCAAAGAATATACGTTATATTATTATTTTTTGATTAAGTACATCAATTTCATAAACCCACGCATTGAATAGAATTCTGTAAATGAGTGTATATATCACGCTTTTAAAGGTTAAATTAAAACAATACTCTTTTTCATATGTAGAATATAACAAACGTTTTGTATTATAACATACGTCAATTCAATATTCATAGAATTAATATTCTCTTGATATTCGAATATGTACTTTCAAATACTATCACATATCATCGAATATTTACACATTCAAATAGATATACGAGTAGTTAGTTAGATATAAAATGTACATCATCATCATCATCATCCAAGATACATATCTACAATACTATTGTATAGGAGGAAATCATATAGTAAATAATTAATTAATTATTAATTATAGATCGTCGAAGGATAAATATAATTTTATGTCAACTTAATAAATCCTTAAATAACTCGATAGGTTACATGTTAATTTCAATAATAATAATTAACTATCTTGTGATTATTTAAAGCTATTCGCCTAATCGTAACACAATCAATGCAATTTTCGAGACTCACGAAAGCAGAAGTAATTGATAAAGGGTTCCTCGTGTATATTAACTTGCGAATGTGTACACAAGAGAGATACAGAGAGAGAGAGAGAGAGAGAGAGAGAAATTATTTGAAATTTCAATGGGACTTTATGTCGTCGGTTCTCACGAGTTATTAATCTACATTTGCATTATACACGTGTATATATATATAAACATATTACGTAGGTAAATCTTCTCTTTCCATATACTTATATTTTATATATCCCAATTATCAAAAGCTACAGGGAAAAATATAATTCATAAAAGAAAAGTATAATATGAAATGGTAAAAAAAAAAAAAAGCAATATTTTAAATAAGAAAAATCAAATAATAAAATCGTTCCAACCTATTTTTCTTATTTATTTTAATTCTTTGTTGCAACGTTTATTATTTTCCTAACGTAAGAACAATTTTGGTTTCTTTCTTCTATAAAAATTGTCAGATGTTAGAGATGTAATATATGAAAGGATTTGAAAATAAATAAATTCCATAAATAGTTTTATTCCAACTTTAGGAAAGATTATTGCTGAGCGTACTACCAAGACACGTAGCAATGGAGATGAAAGCAGACATTGCTGGAAAGCCAAAAGACACGATGTTTCATAAGATCTATATTCAACGTCACGAGAACGTTAGGTAAGTTTATTTCTCGCAAAAAGAAATTTATTATTATTATTATTATAAATCATATTTACCGCTAGGAAATATGAAACCAGGATTTCTAAAGTTTAATGTTAACGTTTTAACGACTTTTGTGTTTGTTCGTTCAACTAAATAGATTTTCTTATAGAGATGAGAGAGAAAGAGAAAGAGAAAAAGGACTCGTACTTGACATGTAATTTAGCAAACTACAAGGGAGTATTGTTCGAATACCGAGAAGTAAGTTTCAACGGGACCATGTTTCTTTGAATGTATGTAATTTAGAGTAAATTTTAAAGTAATTGAACGCAGAATTCGTCAATGATTTATTACTTTCTCTCTCACACTCTCTTTCACTTTCTCATGAATACTAAGTTTGTATTAATGCAGTTGCATATCGACCTGTGCAAAATGTTCTATGAATAAAATTAATATATTTGTCGTATATATCATTCATATTTTTTTCTTTATTTTCCTTTTAATACTACTTACGTCTTATATTTCTTGTGTTATAGCATTTTATTCGCAGACATATGTGGATTCACGTCATTATCCGACCAATGTACAGCGGAAGAACTCGTACGATTGCTCAATGAATTATTCGCAAGGTAAGATATTTTATTAAAATATGACAATAGAAAAAAAAAAAAAAGAAAAAAAAAATAAATGTTAAGAGAATAACGTTATTTTTCTCAATTTTCGATTGGAAATATTTTGTCGGAATAGTAGACAAAATCGGGAATATCGATGAATCAATAATAAAACCTCTATTGTTCATAAAGGTTCATGCGTTTTAGCTTCCATAGAAACCTATGTATGAATGAATAGAAAATTGAACAATGATACACGACTATAGCATCTATGTTCATGAATGAATATCGAGTGCCTAGCCATTTTGAAGGAAAAAAAAAACAAAAAATCTAGATTTTACATTTTTGTTCAATTTTCAAAAAATATTTCTTTTTATTTTTCAATTCATTTATTTATTAATATTACTTTTTTCAAAAAAGAAAGGAATAAAAAAATATAGTCGTGTTAAAAAGCATCCGTCTAAAAGATCGACGGTTTGGAAGGATAGCCGTAAAAAAAAAGGAGAAGAAAAAAAAAAGGGTGTATAACACCCCTGACTGATTTCTCGACGTGCTCTTGTTGCCAAAGCACGTCTGATGGCTTTACATTTTTTACTTTTGGTATTTTCTTCCCACGTAGATATCGAACACAATATTTTCTCTCAGGTGGGTGTGAGAAAAAGAAAGGAATGAAAAATAAATAATAAAAAGATAATATAATGAAACATTTTCCATAAATGGCGATTATTGCGATATAAATAAATAATTCTTATATGTTCTCTATTATGACAAATCTGTAATTAATTATTATAGTTTCAATAATTGTGGAAAATCGAATCAAGATTGTTCATTTCACACACAAACCCTAAAACCCTAAAGACCCCTAAAGCAATGGTGCCTGCTCCGAAAGGGCTAAGGGATAAAAGAAAATAAATCAAAGAAAATACAACAAAAGCACAGACACAACTGGGGAATATTGGAAGAAGCTTGTCAGTTTCTTTTCTTTTTTTTTTTCAGGTTTGACAGATTGGCTGCCGAGCATCACTGCCTAAGAATAAAACTCCTTGGAGATTGCTATTATTGCGTTTCGGGTCTACCAGAACCAAGACCCGATCATGCCCACTGTTGCGTGGAGATGGGATTGGATATGATTGATGCGATCACGTGAGTTTTTGATGTATCGTCTCACCCCTTTTTTTCTTTAATCTTATAATTATCATCTACAATATTAACGCATCTCGTCACCTGTCACATAATATCAAAATGCTCAACAGATTAAATGTTGAATAATGAAACATCATTTTTTTCTTTTTTGCTTTGAATTATTTTCAATTATAATTTGATTTTGAATTGACGTAGACTGGTACGCGAAGTAATGGCAGTAAACGTAAATATGAGGGTTGGTATTCATACTGGACGAGTACTTTGTGGAGTTCTAGGCTTGAGGAAATGGCAATTCGATGTTTGGAGTAACGATGTTACTTTGGCAAATTACATGGAAAGCGGTGGAATACCAGGGTGAGTTTAAAACAATACATACATTATACTGACCATTGAATACGACAAACACACACACACACACACACACCTATATAAGTACATTTTTGGATTATATATTACATTGATAATTAGAAAAATTTGTCTTTAAAAAAGGACAAGAAAAATCTATATTATTTTATTATAAAAATAATAGAAAAGAAAAAAAAAGAAGGTCAATGATAGACGTTAGCCAGACACTTTTTTTTACAGTCGAGTGCATATTACAAAAGAGACCTTGGATTGCTTGGGAGGATATTACCAGGTCGAGGAGGGACGTGGCGACGAGAGAAACTCTTATTTGAAGGAGCACAATATCGAAACTTATTTAATCGTTCCTGGCGATACTTATAAAGACAATGTACCTGCATCTGGCATAAAAAAAGGATTCACGATAAATGGAAACGTGTCGAAAGAAATGAGGGTTATGGGTCATGGATCCCAGCATGGCAAACAAACAAAGTAACAAAATATACCCTAGTCATTTTTTTCTATTGATATCTTTATGAAAAATAAATTGACTAAACTTTAGAAAGACAAAATCTTGATTGAAAAGTGATCATTATTGATGTCTCTTGTTTCAAACTACTTAACGTCTTTTTTTGCTATCTTAATAGATTAGGATTTGGCGAGATTGTTGAGTGCGAAAAAGATCCAGAAGATGAAGTAAATGAATATCTTATGAGAGCTATAGACGCAAGGAGCATCGACCGTCTAAGGGCAGAACATTGTACACCTTTCATATTGACGTTTCGAAGGCCTGACATCGAAGAAAAGGTAAAACGATAATCGGCTTAAATCTATTACCAATATCCCTTATTTCTTTCATTTTCCTTTTTATCCATTTCGATATCACGAATTAGTTGTAAGAGAGAGATGACCGAAAAATGAGAAAATTCAATTTAATTTAAACGCTTTCATTTCTACACACCTATATATTCAATTCAATTGGATTGGATTATTAAATCTACCCAATTATCTCATTTTTTAATGATGAACCAAAAGTTTCTAAGTTTGTAATTCAACGATTTCAGTAACAATATGTTAAGCTAAGGGTTTCTTTTGTACCTTTTCATTAATAAAATATAAAATACAACCGGTAATATGTTTCAGTATTCACGAGAAAGAGACAGGATGCTTTCCGCCTACTTTGTTTGTTCTGGTTTCGTTTACATGGTTGTTGTGGTTGCCATAGCCATTACTCTTTCCGGGTAAATATATTATCAAATTATTTCACATTATATGCTAAAATATATATTTTTACCAAGTATAGTTGTATATTTAATATCATGATCACACCACACACGTTTTCATTGTATATAATATTATATTAATTAGATTATATTTAATAAAAGAAAGCCCCTTTGCATAAATACATATTCCCACGCATATATATCGCATTTCATCGATTTTTCTTTTTTCTTTTTCGATCTTATGGTTATACACCATATATATCATACATTTTTCAGGAGTATATATTTCTACGCGTGTACCGGCGTAAGCGTATTGGTGATAGCTTTGGTAAATGGCATTCTACTTGCTGAGAAAAACGAGGTGAGTTTTGTTATATGCTAGAATGTATATAATATGTATATATAGTAATGTTACATATCACATATGGATATTCTTACTTCAATGTTTCTTTTTTCGTATACATATATCTATCTCAACACATTTTTCCGACGTTCATGCATATATCGTGCACATTCGTGAAAAATAACTCATATAAACCACCCTCACTTCCCCCATACATACATACATATATAAATATAAATAGATATAGATATATCTATACACACATGTTCACATAGACATATTAGCATGTATTAGAAGTACACATTCGAAAATGTTAGAATATCTATGACACGGTTATTCATCGTTGGATCGATCGTAGCAGCAGCAGAAAACTCTTTGGAAAGTTGCCACTTCCTCTTAACCTTGACTACTTGTCGAGAATTCCAGGTCAGTGCCAAAATTATCGATTCGAACATTATGTTTTCGATGACGATAGGACGACTCTTCTACGAATTGATTTCACTTTTATCCTATTCCCCGATACCTGCCTGCTCAACATGATTTCTATCCGTCGAATTCGGTTTCATCTTCTTTTCAAATGTATACACACATATATTCACATATATATATATTATAGATTTACTATTGTATATTATTATCTTTTTGATTTCTTTTTTCATTTTTTTTTGTTTTTTTTTTTTTATCATAGACGGTACCAGAATGGGTAAGGAATACGGCTGTGAGGATTTTTGAAAATCGAATTATTGCACAAAGCATAGCTACTGTCGTTGTCTTTTTAACTTTCATCACTGTCCTTTCACCCATGGTGAGTAATTATAATTATTTTTTAATTACAATAAGAATTATTTTGTTTGAATTTAAAACATCGAGAAACATTGAGATATTGTTACAATTGAGTTGTTTAACAAATAAAAGATAGATTGAAAGAAAATCTAATTTCGATTCTTAACTTTTGAATTACTTTGAAACCAAGGTACGTGTTAAAACAAGATCAAAAGTTTTCCATCCAACGTTTTCCAAACAATTACAACTTTCTCTTTCTCTCAATCTCTCTCTCTCTCTTGTTCTAATTCTATTTGTACATTCTCTATTCGTAACCCTTACCACGTAGGAATAGTAATTCGATACATTTTACCTACCTAATGGCTAATAATGGTAATTAGCTACTATCGCTTTTCATTATCTAACAATTGAGAAAGAGAGAGAGAGAGAGAGAGAGAGAAAGATAAAGAAAGTAAATTTATCGTAGAATAGGAGACACACACACGCATACACAATAAATCGCTCCTATCGTATTTTGTTTCTTCTTCTATCTCCTCGTTTCAGGTAAAATTAGATGGAAGCGAAGCATGTGAAAATAACACTTTAACTACAACCACCGAATGGCCAACAGTAATGGTTCAAAGAATTGAAATGAAAGATGGACCATGTTACTATTCACTTTTCTCCGACGTGAGTTTCAATTGAAAATATATATTATTTTATTAAATATCTAATCTTTAACATTAATTGTTGTTTATTTGGATAATTATTGACTCGTGAAATATTGTCACATGAAATGAACAAAAATTGTAAAATGTCACTTGAAATTATAAAAATGAAAGGAAAAATTATTGACCTAATTCTACGAACGATTTTTAAAATTATCTCTCGTATTTTTCAATTAGAAAAAAACGACACTGATTGAAGAACTCATTTACAGCTATAAAACAACCGGGTATATAGGTATTTTTAATTAATATTTATGTTCCACGAAGAACACAGAGAGAGAGAGAGAGAGAGAGAGAGAAAAAAAAAAGAACAATAAAGAAAATAAAAGAGAGAAATTATTTGCGATAAATAAATTCTACCATAATGGTATCGTACTTATTAACATTATTGATTTACTTACGCGTGTTTGAAAAATCCATTGGAAAATAAAAATTAATCCACAGTTTTTTCTTTGTTTTATCTCAACAGTTATTTCCTGTTCTGGTGATGTTAGTTATGGTTACCTGTGCGGTATATCAAATTTTAACCTCGGTTCTGAAAGTAGCTGTATTGGGCATCGTCGTCACCTGTTATTTAGGTGTTAGCATTTATCAAGCAAGTAATGATGATAGTCTTGATCCTGCCGAAAAATGGTTAGCCGGTGTATTGGTTGTCTTTTTTATGGCGTGTTTGGTCGTTCATTCGCAACATACCGAAGCTACTTACAGGTAATAATACTCTTAATTAAATACAAAATTAAAGTAAAATTTAGAAAATTAATTGAAAGAAAGTGAATTGAATTTTTGTTTGCTTTTCTATTCTTTTTTTACAGATTAGATTTCTTATGGAAACTTCAAGCAACCGAGGAGAAAGAAGAGATGGAACACCTGAAGGCCTACAATCAAAAATTATTGGCAAATATTTTACCGGAACACGTGGCAGCCCACTTCCTTTCCACCGTTAATTCCGACGTAAGATAATTAATTAATCATCTACATAATACGCTAAAAGAAAATAGAATTTTCAATGGTCGAATTGCATGTACATTGGCATAATCTAAATGCACATACTTTTGTAGGAGCTGTATCACGAGCAATGCGACTTCGTTTGCATAATGTTCGCCTCAATACCAAACTTTTCAGAGTTCTATGTCGAGTTAGAGGCGAATAATGAGGGCGTAGAGTGTCTCCGACTTTTAAACGAAATCATTGCCGACTTCGACGAGCTTCTAGCTGAGGAACAATTCAAATACATCGAGAAAATTAAAAGTACTGGTGCCACTTATATGGCAGCATCTGGTTCGTATACAATATGACGAACAGTCAATAACGTGAAAAGCCCGTTCGTTATTTATACATTTAAATGTAATTTCCTATTTATAAACGTCTTCTCAAATCTATTTTCTTTTCATTAGGACTGACGAAAAGCACCTGTGACATGAGGGACTACAAACATGTGACCGCCATGGCAGACTATGCTTTAAGAATACGCAAACAGCTGGCAGACGTTAATGAACATAGTTTCAACAACTTTAGGATGCGTGTGGGGATCAACATAGGACCGGTATTATATAAAATAATATTTCTAAATATTATCGAAACCTTACTCCGTGTTATAGTAATAGATAGTTGTAGTAACTTTGATCATTAGCTTGAAAATTGATATATTTTTATATGAACAGGTTGTTGCTGGGGTGATAGGTGCAAGAAAACCGCAATACGACATTTGGGGTAACGCTGTTAACGTGGCCTCGAGAATGGATTCTACTGGAATTTTGGATAGGATTCAGGTCACTCGTGAGGTTCACGATATTCTATTAGCCAAAGGTTATCCACTTATTTGTCGTGGTAGTATAGAAGTTAAAGGAAAAGGCAGTATGACAACGTATTTTCTCAATGGACCACGTGATACTACGAAGATAAATAATAGTACAGATATCAAGAAGATTAATAATACTGAAATTTTAACGAGGGCTAATTCAAATCACAATAATAATGCTAATAATGTCAACGAAAGAATATCGTTACCCAATAATGGAGCAACACTTTGAAGAAGAGGATGAAAATATACAAAAAATAAAAGTTATTAAATAAATAACACGTTCTAGTACTGATAAAAACTTTCATTATCTGGCCCAAGTTGTGCAATATTTTAGATACGAATTAAACAAGAAGAAGAAGAAGAAGAAGAAGAAGAAGAAGAAGAAAAAGAAAAGCAAATATATATGAGATTTCATTTCTGATTTGTTAGTGCAATTTATTTTCTGCAAAAAGTTATCTATCTAAATGTAGTAGCTCGACAAAATTCAATTTTCTGTATAATAAGTTTTAATAACACATCGATGAAAAAAAGTCTGTATTTAATAATTGTATCATAGTATATAAAAATTGTCATCTCTAATGTAATGGAATAATAGAATCGTTCAGTATTAATTCAATCAAGTGTAATATGTACACTTAAATTCATTGAAAAAAAAGTAAAAAGAAAAATACATTTAAACAAATATAAAAGTTATAATAAATTCGAATGAAATATTTCGTTAAATCTTTATCGTTTAACATACTATTTAATTGTAATCTCTCTCTCTCTCTCTCTCTCTTTCTCTCATAATTCATAAAATGAAACAAACAATTATATAAAGTTATATATGATACATTGCTGGCAGGTCCAGTTATTATGATAATGATGATTATTATAATTATAATTATTATTATAAATATTGTAACATTAAAATAGATAAGATAAATACACATTACATATGAATTTCACATATGGTATATAAGAGACGATGATAAGGATATAGTGAAATCAATTATAAATGATCAAACTTTCGATTGGAAATATTTAATTAAACGTTTATAATTAATAATCATTGTGTCTAATATCATAGAGAGAATTTCGTTTTGAGAGAAAAGAAAAATCTAACAAATAAATATATTATAGATTAGGCACAGAATAAGACAAAAATTTCTTATTGAATCGCTCTATTTTTTTGTCAATTTCTGCGATATATACATATATATATATATATACATACTTCTATGTTGTAATAAGAATAATAATGATAATGAAAACAAAATATGTAATACAACTTGAATCCATCCACAGAAACACAGATGCAATCACAGTCAGCAACACGCACACACACTATACTACTACTACTACTAATACTAATAATACTACATATAAATAAAAAAAAAAAAAAACAGATAATATGCGGTGACTTTAGAGAGTCAAGTCAATATAAAATATGTAATAATTGGAACATCTTAAATTTGGCCTAAGTTGTATGTCTACATTCAGGAAACACTTCTACATTATACATAAGTTCAGCCTGACACAAATTATATCCTATAAACAAAATGTGAAATAAAATTTTTATTAAAGTTAAAAAAAAAAAGATCGTCAATTATTTATATATTATTCCTAATTAATCAAATGTATTATTATATTATAGTATTCTCTTAATTCTTATTCAATTTAAAAAAATATATTTTATTATAAGCATTTTATTTTAGAAAATTATAAAAATTAATAAACAATAGTAAATAGCTTTTAAAAATACTAATAAATGCTCCTATCAATATATTAAATATATCTATATATACTACGAAAAGCATTTAAATGCCATCCTCCAATCAGAATTTTGACGTTTTTTCAATTTTCAATGGAAATCATATGATCCCGGTGGATTCAATCGTTTTCCTCCCGTCACAAAAATTAAAGATTAGTAGCAGGAGCACATGATGATACAAGAGGTATCAGGAGGTATTCGAGTAGCGTAGGAGGTCCCAAGGCGGGAGCGCTCATTGG